GAACATACGCGGTGGCTATAGGCCGGAGCAGCGCTAGCTGCGAGGGCCGCTTGAGGCTCCGCGGAGCTTTAATTATATACTTGTTATTAATTAGTGGACATCAGTTTATATGGCATCTGCAGCAAAATTATACATTTTCACTTTCCAAAATATTATTTGGCTTCCATGTTAAAAATAACTATTAGGAGTGCATCGATTGCAGTTCTCTGGTCGATCACAGATCTTTAAAGGCCTGACCTCCCATCGAGTTGCTGCACTGCAAAAACACAAAATATTACCAAGTAATTAAGCTCTAGTTTCTGTTTCAAATATCTTACTACAGATTAAATAAAACAAAACTAACTTAATAGTAGTTTTTCAGCAACATGTAGAATCTTGTTTTGAGTCAATAATCCTTAATATTAACGAAAAAGGACTAGTTCCTCTGGCAGATTATTTCTCTTATAATAAAACATTTTCTCATGTTGTAAGAGAAATAATTTGCCTAAGGAACTAGTAGTTTTTCATCAATATTAAGGAATTATTTACTTAAAATAATGTCCTGTATCTTTCTGAGAAGTTACTTATAAGTTAGTTTTGTTAGTTTTTGTTGTAAGTTATTTGCACTAGAAATAGTCTATAAATAAGATTTTGCGTTTTTGCAGTGTGTCCTGTTACTAGTGCATCCTATCTTAGCTTAGCTTAGCATAATTTAGCTATTTGTATTTAAAAAGCCATTTTAATAACCAGGCAGACATTTTGATGTGACTGCTGCAGCCTGGGTGTTTCTGTCCCTCATCCTGTTGGTGGCGCTCCTGAGGAGGGTTTCTAATTCCAGGAAACTGTTTCCTGTCTGTGACGCCTCCAGCAGATTGGCCTCCATTGGGAGTGGCATCAATCCCTCTGAGTGCATTCTCTCAGATTTATTCCCAGTTTCTCTCAAAAGCCCTTCTCCAGCTTTATTTGGATGATTAATATTGGTTATCTCTTACTGTCAGAAAAAATCTGTTCACCATTTTAATGCTTCATAATGAGTCTGACTTATTCTTGCAAAAACCACTTTACATGGCAGATATCCTCCACTGAAAGCTGTAAACAAATGTTGATACGCTATTAGTTTGAATTAGAGTCACTTTTATCCTTTTGTCTGTATGCTTTCTGCAGCTGAGAGAATTAACTTCCCTCTGATATAAATTTTTTTTTATCTTAATGCATCTCCAGAAATTCATGTGGGCATGCTTGCTCTGTCCCATTAAGAGGTAATTCTTGTCTGCTCTTTGCAGCAACTTAATGGTTGATTCTCCACAGCGGTTTCTCTCTTGAGGGATCTGAGTTTGCAGCCTTGTGATCATTAGTACGCCTCCTGGTTTCTGTAGTGAAGCTTAAGCAGAAATAATAAACTGTCAATCAAACATAACATTTCTATGGAAGAGGATCAGAGCAACTGAAAAAAAAATGAAAAAAGAATCTGATGTTTTTTCTCAGAATTGTGATGTTTTATTCCTTAGGAATCTGACTTTTGATTTCACAAGGAGTCATAATTCTGAGAAATAATGTCACAATTCCAGGAAGCAAATATCACAATTTTGAGAATAAAAGTCACAATTCTAAGAAGAAATGTGTTCTAAAACTAAAGACATAATTCTGAGAAAAAATGCTAAATCTGAGAAAAAAATGTCAAATTTGTGAGAAAATTTCAGAATTCTAAGAAAAAATGTCACAATTTTGAAAAAAAATTACAATTCTAAAGGTTGTCAGAATTCCAAGAAACTATATCACAATTCTACAAAAAATGTCATAATTTTGAGAAAAAAATATCAGAATTTTGAGAAGAAACTTCAGAATTCAGAAGTAGAATTCAAAATCTGAATTCTGTTTTTTTTAGTGATCCTAATCCTTTTCAGTAGATTTATTCGGTTAGTTTTTCTGGTTTTGCTTTTTTTTTGTCAAACTTGAATGTTTCATATCAAGTAAACTTCAATATCAGTAAAGTAGACATTTAATGCAGTTTTCAAGTAATTTAATTTTTGCAGAAATGGCACTGTAAAAATGACTCCTCCTCCTTTGGTAAATCATGAAATAATTATTATTGGTTACAGTTTTTGAAAAGTTGAATTCAATTTCACCAAAGCTTGATTACTGCTAGGTTGTGGAAACTATAAATTACTTAAGCAGAACCAGTCTGACACCATGAAGTAGGCTGAAAAATCTCCAAAAGCAACACATCGAGCCTTTAGCAACAACTACAGAACAAAATCGCTATGATGTGTCGGTGTGTTCTGCGGTGACATCTTGTTTTTATTTTAATTCACAGAGGCAGCCAATGGGAACGTCCCGTCTGGGCAGCGACCTCCACCTCGGATCCGTAACGTTCAGATCAACAACCAGATCGTCAAGCTCAAGTATTGCTACACCTGCAAGATCTTCCGGCCTCCGCGAGCGTCTCACTGCAGCATCTGTGACAACTGTGTTGGTACGTCATCTCAGCTGTGCTGCAGAAATTAGCTGCTTTAAATCACTTTAACATTCAAAAACCAACTAGTACCACCGTTTGTCAAACATCAAACCAGTCTCCAAAATGTCTACATTTTTTCATCCAATTAAGCATCAATCACACATTTCCATTACGCTGAAAAAAAGTAAATTATGTTCGTTACGATGCAATTAATGTCTAATCGATATTAATTTAGAAGATAAACAAGTCTACATCTAAACTAGTGGTGGGCACTGCTAACTTAAAAGATAGTAGTGATAACCTTAAAACACTAATCATACACACTAGATCTGCTAATGCTAAGGTCCTACACCAACAACATATTTAGCGAAAACTAATGCTAAAGTGCTATACTAACAGGGTATTTCTCAGAAGCTAATGCTAAATTGCTACATCAACAAGGTATTTTGCAAAAGCCTATTATAAAGCACTACATCAACAGGATATTTAGCAGAAACTAATGGTAAAGCGCTACACTAACAAGGTATTTCTTTGAAGCTGATGCTAAAGTGCTGAACAAACAATGTAGGCACTAACAATAAAGCGCAACACCAACAAGGTATTTCTTTGAAGCTAATGCTAAAGTGCATTTAGCCAACAGAGTATTTCTCCGAAGCTAACGCAAAATTGCTACATCAACAAGGTATTTTGCAAAATCCAATTCTAAAGCACTACACGAACAGGATATTTAGCAGAAGCTAATGCTAAAGTGCATTTAGCCAACAGAGTATTTCTCCGAAGCTAACGCAAAATTGCTACATCAACAAGGTATTTTGCAAAATCCAATTCTAAAGCACTACACGAACAGGATATTTAGCAGAAGCTAATGCTAAAGTGCATTTAGTCAAAAGAGTATTTCACAGAAGCTAATGGTAAAGCGCTACACCAACAGGGTTTTTTTTAGAAGCTAATGTTAAAGAGTTGCACAAACAATGTATTTCTTAGGAGCTAGCAATAAAGGGCTACACCAGCAAAGTATTTCTTAGAAGCTAATGCTAAAGTGCTATACCAACAGGGTATTTACTGGAAGCTAATGCTAAAACTCTCCTACATGACATTTCACAGATATTTGCATAGAAACTAGACAAAAATACTTTGTAAGAAGCTCAAAAGGTAAAACTTTAAAAGTTGGTTCAAGCAGCAGCTGTAGTGTAGTTTTAATAAAGTCAGGCAGGTGAAATGGGTTATTTGAGTTAGACATGGTTAAAGGAAGAGAGATTTGGGAGGAAAATTGCCTGCAGACATATCAGCATTCATAAAATAATTTCAAAAGCTTTAAAAATAAACGCTGAACTAAGCAGACGGGGTGGAAGTACTAAGAGTTGCAATCTGTGCTTTGAACGATGAAGGTGGTTTGAACTGTGACTCCGCCCGTGTTGAGTTGGGAGCTGTCGGCGCGTGTCACCTCCAGACCTCGCGAAGTAAAAGTGATTTGGCTGCTGATGATTGAGGGCTGTGTTTGAAGGAAGCCTTGGAGTCATGGGCGATATGAGAGGAGACAGTGGCGCCTCAGTGAGGGAATAAACGCTGAGTCATTGTGAACACTGGTTCGTCTGTGTGCACCTGCTGTGGAGAGGCTGCCATTACACAGCGACACGCCTCAGTCGCTCTTACTGAAGGAATCATCTTCATGCTAGCTTAAAGGGGACCTATTATGCAAAATTCATATTTTGCATATTTTTATGCTTCCATTTGAGTTTCTGCTGCTTCTAAAAGCAACTAAAGTGTTTTTTTTTAAAAACACCCAGTCTTTTTTAGCAATAATTTAATGTTTTTTGGTGTCTGGTAAGTGAGCTGTTTAAAAACCTTCAGATAAATCACATTCAGTGGGCAGTGTGCCGTTACCTAGCAATCCCAGCCAAGCCCAGCCCCGTTACCTAGCAACCCAAGCAGAACTCTAGCACATTTGGTCAGCTGGTTTGGGCTGTTGAACTGGAAACAACAGCTTTGGGCGGGTTGTTAAAATTTGGGCTGCTTAATATTTGGTAGATTTTTAGAAAGTATTCAGAGGAAAATTCTTTCCCAATAGTTTTCTTTGCTCATCTTATTAGCTCATAAGCTCATCTTATTGGTTGTTATTTTTTGAAAATGCGTAGAGTTGGTTGAACGTGACATTATCAATGATTAATAATTATTGGTTAATCAAGTGTCACTATGTAATAGTATTGTAAAACAGATATCCCCGGCAACATTATTATTTAAAGACATATTACCACAAAAAACGCAAGTCTTGTTGTGTTCAAAGAATCAAGTCCTTTGCAATCTAAAAACAAAGACTTTGGGCAGGTTGTTAAAATTTGGGTTGCATTTTACATTTGGCGAACCCAAACTGAGCTTCAGCACGTGTGGTCAGCTGGTTTTACCATTGAATGTGCTGTACAATGGCTGTTGGAATAGAGAAGTATTTCATTGTTGAATTACCATTCAAAAACAACTTAATGCATTCTTGTTGGTTGTGCAGGAGGCTCTACTTTTGCTTTTCAAAGATGTACAGTTGCGTAATTGTGCATTTGTTTGCAGCCATTTTCACATGCGAGTGCAAACGTAGAGTTGGGGGCGTGGCCAGCAGCATCTTATCTGGATTTAAAGTGGCAGAGGCCATTAAACAGCTCAAATAGGCAGAACTGACCAGGCTAAAATCTCATTATCAAAAAATAATTTTGTGCAAAAAAAATTAATGAACATGTTTTGTTTAGCCCATATATTTCTCCTAACCTGTTCAAGGTCAAAGTTAATGTTTGACCAAACCAAAGAGGAGCAAATCCTGCTTTTGTGATCCACCACTGTCCGTTTGAAACCGAATAAATCTTGGGTTTAAGTGCAGTTACATTTTCACAGCTCGGTTTGATTGTAAAGGAAGTGCAACGTTTGCAGCTTTAGAGTGAACTTTCCTGAAGTGTGAACGATTACTCTCCTGCTGCTCTGTGTACCTCAGATATACGCTGCATCAATCAGAAACCCTGTTAGCTGCTCTCGGCCTGAGTGGCTGCTGTTGCTAGGCGAACTGGAAGATGGTTTTTCTTTTCAAGGTGGACGGGCTTTGAGTAGACCGATGCTAATGTGATATTAAATACGTAAAACGTTCCTGTGATGCTGCTCCTGCTTCCTTCAGCTTGTGACCCCATGAGATCCGGGTTTATGTTGACGACTGTTAGCAACAGTCAGACTGAACTCAGTTATTAATAGAATCTGATTAAACACCAGTAAAAACACTTTCCTTTATTCCTTCATAGTCTCCTTATTTCCTAACTCTTTGTCTCTCGTTTCTTTCTTTGCCTCCTACTTTGTCCCCTTCCTGCCTTTTTTAACACCTTCCTTGGATCTTTGTCCTCCTTTACTATCTTTCTTTTCTTCTGCTGACTTTCCTTCCGTTACCCCCCGTTCTTACCTCCCTAGTATCCTTCCTGTCTTT